GTGACGCCCTCCCCTCTGCCGATTCCCACGCTGTGTAGGCGGAGGGTCTTCAGTGGGGCCGCGGGAGCAGGTCCTGGCCCGTGGCTTCGGGTTCTCCCGGCCCCTGGCTTGAGGGGTAGAGAGGGCAGGAAGCGGGAGCTGAGTTTTGGGGTCCCCCTTTGCCGCCTCTATAACCTGTCGTGATAGAGCTGCCAAGCATGGCAGGAGCCTTGCCCGTTAGGAATCGTAATTTGGGCAGATTGGTTAAATTCTCAAGCCAATTGTAGGGTTATTTAAAAAAAAAATCTATTATTAGATTGTGCCCAAGTGATAACATAGGCAGCTGGATGAGACACAGGTCTCTTTTAACTATTTAGCTTTGGGTACGATTTTTCTAAAGGTTGTGAAACTCTTAACACTCAGAATATTTACTTCTGTTTTTAAGCCAACTTTCCTGAACAAGTGGTCGATAATCTTCCCGCTGATGTGTCCACTGGCATTTATTACGGATGGGCCAGTGTGGGAACTGGAGAAGTCCATAAGATGGTGGTGAGCATAGGATGGAACCCATACTACAAGAACACGAAGAAGTCCATGGTAAGAATGTGTTTCACTGTGTAACTGGAAATGGGATGACGATTTAGAGTAATATGCAGTATTAGGTATACATACAGAGGTATGGACTGCGTCAGTGGTAATCACAACATAGTGTAAATTCTAAATTTTTGGCATCACACTTGAAGGATTTAAGAGTGAAGTACTTAGTTACTATTTGACGGTAACTTTTCCCTTTCATTTTAAAACTTTGTCCCTGGAAGTGTATAGTTGACTCTTATCTTTTTAATCATCCTGCTAATCTCTGCCTTTTGAGAGTTTAATCATTTTTATTTAAACTAATAAGGAAGGACTTAAGCTATTACTATTTTCTATATGTCTTAAAGCTTTTTAAAAGTTGATTGTTGAAAGTATTACAGATATCCCCTTCTCCCCTTCCCCATCCCCAGTGACACCCCATTTCACCCTTCACCACCCCCCCCCAGGCCTTCACATGTCTGTGTCGATAGG